CACGCCTGGCAAATGCTTATGCGGACTTTGCGGCCTACTGCAAAGCCAACCAAGTCCGCAGCTGGTGTCCAATATATTCTAGCTATGGGTCGGTCTAGATAGTTTAGGGTTTCTTTTCGGGCAGGTGTCGGGTTTAGGGTCTAAGGTTTAGGGTACCGTTTTTTTTTTAATTCTCGGAGCAAGGCCCCTTGCAGGGGTAGTCGAATCGGATAGACCCATGCTGTCCTCCGGACTTTCCCTTCCCTTGATTAAGGCTCCAGAGCGCCGCCCTTCAACCTGGAGTCTATGAAAGCTGATCGTGCTTCTGGCAAGTTCCCCACGCTGGCGCAGAAACACCTCAGTGGTGCTGTGCCTGGACTGCAATATGTCTGAAATAAGGCAGGCCTGTGGCATGCTCTTGCACTAACAGGAATCCATCATATTGGTTCGATGGCTGGCTGCTATTTGCTGGGATATCGCTGCCAAGACTGGCAGTCACCATGATCGGCTCCGAGCTTCTGTTTTCATTGGGCTGGACCAACTACGTGACACTTTTGCAAAGTGCCCCGGCGTGCCTTCGGAACAGGAGTTGGAGAAAGCTGAATTCTTCAAAGACCTGTACCAGGGCGCGCTTCTAGGAGCCTTGGCATCGGTGCCTTTACACGTATTGAACCAAGGCCCCCGACAATCCTATAAAACTGCCCTAAGCCCCAAACCCTAAGGCCCAAAAACCCTAAACTCACATCCTCAACCAAGGACTCGCTCGTCAGGCGGTTCAAGAGAAAAAGCTGCTCTGGAAGATTCGCCCCAAATTTCATGCGAGTCTTGGCTGAGATAGTGTTGAAATCCATGTGTCGACAAGTTTCAATCCGGTGGTCAACTTCAATTGACAACTTTGTTCCATGAACAAGGCTCGACCATTTGGTGCTGGACTGTGCCCGCTTGACGAACCCCATCAGGGTGTCGAACTACCAAGAGGAGGACCTCGTAGGTCGAATAAAGCGGACGCTGGGCGTGCAGGATTTTTTTTGCTGCGAACCCTAAAACCCTAAACCTGCAGGTCTAAGGCCCAATACCCTGCAATGCATCCAAGGTTAGCCAAAGGCGAAAATCCACGACGTCTTGGACGCTCGGTGCTTGAGCGATGGTCGTGGCAGGTGAGCATTCGCTGGCACAATCAGCGGCTGGAAGCTTCCGACTGACAAAGTGGCTGCTCAAAAAAATCAAGAGCTGCCTTCCACACTCCTCCCCCATAAGAAGCCCATTCAGGGCTTTCAGTTTAGGGGTTAGGGGTTTCGGGTTTAAGTTTTACGGTTTCGGGGTTTAGGGTCCAGGGTGGAGTTTCCCGCCTGCTTGCAAGAGTCCTGGATGCAAAGGGTCCAGGGGCTTAGGTTTTAGGGTTTAGGGGTTTGGCTTTTTAGTTTTAGGGCTCAGGGGTTTAGGGTTAGGGTTTAGGGCTTTGGGGTTTAGGTTTTAGGGTTTATGTTTGGAAGCAGGTTTAGGGGTTTAAAGTTGTGCGGGGCCCAGGGTTTGGGGTTTCTGTGGCTCCTTCCGGACTCCTTACAACAAACCTTTCAGGCCCAAACCTAAGCACCAACATCCAAACAACATCCTGACACGTCCAAAAACCCTTCAACCCCGGTTTACAGTTGCCGACTTCGGATTCAGGGCTTCGTGTGCTGACCCCCCAAACCCTAAACCCTGGACCCTAAACTCTTTAAGATAAATATAACCCTAAACCCCAACCCTAAGACCTGTGCAAATTAATGCTAGTAGCACGGCGTATAATATGGGATGTCGTCTAACTGACATGTTTTGTCGTGTCCTATGCTAATTGACATGTTTCTCGTCCTGGAACGCAAAACACGTCGAACGGAATACGCTGGCATACATACATACATACATACATACATACATACATATACATATATATATATGTATATACATATTAAGTCTGTGGTCCCTATCGACTTGTACTTGACTATACCCCCCCCCCTCCAAAAAATCATTGCACTTCCAGAGGCCCATCATCTGACCAACCCTAAACCCGAAACCCTAAACCCTAAAAAAAACCTAAACCCTAAAAAGAAAGCCAAGTCTGAATGCCCCAGGCTCTTCCTGTACGACTCCGTGGCAGTGCGGGCTGTGCCTTGTCTATCCAGGGGTATAAGGTTTTGGGGGTTCGGGGTTTAGGGTATAGGGCATTGGGTTTAGGGGTTCGGGGTTTAGGGTATGGGGCATTGGGTTTAGGGGTTCAGGGTTTGCACGATGCATCCCCTTAACCGGGGTTTCTGCTGCTTAAAGTACTTCGGCCGGTGAAGCGTGAAGGTGTTATGAACCCAAAAGCCTAAACCTCAGGCGCAGTGTTGAGCACGCAGTACGTCCTACAGTGGTTGCTTAGAGACAGTCCACAGTGGACGCATGGATAGACCTTACGGTAAGTCTCTCTATGCATAATTATCGTAGATATATGCCCTTAAACTCAACTCTAAGTACCAGAAGGCCGCTATTATCACCAACACCATACCTAGAGGCCCTCTAACATCCCGCCATTGAGGGCTACAAGGACCCCGCTACTACAGGCACTTGAAGGTCTGGTAGCCGGGCTCCCGAAAAGGACATAAGCAGTAATCAGGTTAGGGTTTAGGGGTTAGGGCTTAGGGTTTAGGTTTTAGGGTTCAGGGTTTAGGGTTCAGGAAACCTCCTAAGAACCAAGCCCAAGAAAGGTAGTGACATCCCGGCAAAATGCTGATGTATGCCCCAACCTGGCTTGCGAAGCTTGCCAAGTCTGAAGGCCGTGTCCTACACCTTCTGGAATGGTGCAATCTGGGTGGACGTGCTCCAGTGTCTGGGCTGCGTGGGCTAGCTGTCTTGACTGTTTGGGTGCTGTGCTTCTATCGTGTTTGGCATCTTGGTAGCTGAGTAAGTAACCTTTAACTGCCTTTAACCTTTTGGGCTTATATATCCCTACCATTATTGAAAGGTTAACCCTTTTAGGCTAGGATACTCAGCCCCGAAGGCATTAACAGGCAGGTGGGCTTTCCAGGCTACATTCGCACTGTCACACAGCGCTGGCACGTTGAGAGTTTCCACACTTGGAGACTCATGGGTTGCTATAAGCCGGGTTTCACGCATAAGGGTATACTATACTTATACTCCTAATACGGTTTATAACAGGGTATACTATAGTTATACTCCTATTACGGCTTATAACTACCCACGAACCTCCAAATAGTGAATATAGCTTTATAGACTCTGAGTCCAGTTGCCCCCTGCAAGTAGGGTGCCCAGCTACCTATTCCAGTATGCTATTGTTGCCCTTGAAGCCCTAGGTAGACCTTTCTGTGCCAAGTGGGCTCTTCCTAAAGCTCTTGCAAAGCCACGAACCTGTAGACGCAAAGGCTCTAAACCCTGCCAGGGCCCCGCAAGTGCCCTTATGGTTCGTAATCGTGGGTATTTAGGGCATATTAGAGGGTAGT